AATATGAATTAAAGGTTTAGGGTAAATAATTACATCCATCTACTTACTGTCGCAAAAGATATTACGTTTTTGCATTATATTTACAGCAAAAACTAAATCACTCACATATCAAATGATAGTTCGCGTGATGTTTGAATATATTTTGAGGCACAGCCTCTTTCACAACACTTAGTCATCTTCGTACTTTATATGAATTGTAAAATTCACTATAAATATCAAACTACTTTTTATAACAGCAAATCTGAAACAATAAATGGCGGAATCGGCCGCAAGGTGGGGTTAAATGACGACATCTTAAAAATGTTTACCAGAATACGAAACAATTTCTATTATCTGTTTCATTTATGAATGACACTTAGACTTACACTTCGCTGAGTGAAAAAGAGATAGGTAGCATATTAACAGTTCAATGTCGAATATAACCATATTTGTATAATCAATAAAACATATAGATGCTCTGGGCAGCTTCTCTATTTTCTATGCTCAAAGGTCAACAGTCAATAATATAATAATATTCCTGCTTTTGTGCTGTAGACATATCGATTCGTTTAAAAATAATCGATCTCCGATACGATTCAAATCAAACATACTAAAATCTATTTTCGATTCACCATCTGAAAACTTGTTTCACCATTTCTACTAATCATGCACATGCGCAGACATTTAATACACTAAATAGCACTTCTTCTACATATCAAAACCCACTTCAAACCATTATTTAAACAATAATACAGGAGCAGCAATTCGCCGCCGGCCAAGTTGCACCCTAAACTCTTGATACTATTTGATATACTATTTGTTAATTTTCAAAGTACAACCTACGCTAGTACCTCTTATTAGCGGTAGAAGTGAAACCTTCAGAAAACATTAGCTACGAGTAAAATTTCTTTATAACAGCGTCATGTACTTTATTCTCATATTATCGAAAAAATAATTGAATGGCTCTCGAGGTGGTATGTAAGACGCTAGGTGGCCTAAGGACGACTACTTTATGACTATTTATGTGTACTTTAAACGTGCAAAAACTACTACTAAAGTCAGAAAAGAGGATGGTGTGTCATATTTTTAGTAAGAATTATTAATATTTAATAATTATTTAATGCGATACATAGCATTTAATTTAAATTCATATTAATTGTAAAAAACATATTCACCGATAATTTTCGCTTGAAACTTCATAAAGTGAAAAAAGTGCGGCCTCTAGTCGAAGTTAATAGTCTAATAAATTGTCGCAAGTAAAATGGAGTAGATATCTAATGACAATATGGTTTGAATTAGGATGTTATAATTTTTATTTATATTTCTATACACGTATTCCGATCTTAACCACTAAGCCACTGAATTCTTCTACTGCCGTCGCCGAATAATTACTTGAAAAAAATGTAAATACGTGTACAAATAATTTTACATTTCATAAAGTATCATCAAAAGTTATTGTAAGGATCGTGACACTTGGCGATCTGTTCTCTCTGGCTACCCCGTCAGGGATTGTGCGTGAAGATAAGCAAAAGTTATTGTAAAATATTTTAAAACTATTGATATTAAGAAAACTGGGGGATTTCCGTTAAAGTTATTGCGTCTATAATAGATATAATCGCGCCTCATCTAGCTATTATTTTTAATACTAGTATCGAATCTGGTGTGTTTCCTGATTTAATGAACCATAATAAAGTAATACCTTTATTTTATTAAATCTGGTAGTACATTAGATCCCGCCAATTTTAGACCTATTTCTGTATTACCAACATTTAGTGATATTTTTGAAAAAATTATTCTTGATCAAATGTTAAATTTCTTTAATATTAATAATTTACTTCATAAAAATTAATTTGGTTTCACAAGGGGTCGCTCGACAACTGATGCTGGCGTTGAGCTGATTTAATATATTTTTAATGCATGGAAGAATTCACAGGATGCTTTGGGTATATTCACAGGATGCTTTGGGTATATTCTGTGACCTATCCAAGGCCTCCGATTGTGTTCACCATGAAACATTAATCAGGAAACTTCAACACTACGGCGTAAGAAGTAACGCTCTTAAATTAATTATTTCATATTTAAGTAACAGAACGCAAAAAGCTTTCATTAACAGTATGAGCTCTTCCGGGTCTATGGTACAAATGGGCGTACCTCAAGACTCAATTCTCGGCCCGTTTCTGTTTCTTGTATACATTAATGACTTACCTTACATAGTAGGAGATAACCATGATATAGTATTATTTGCTGATGATACATACATACATAAACACTCACGCCTGTCACCCAGAGGGGTAGGCAGAGACTACGGACTTCCATTTGGCGCGATCCTGACACACCTCTCTCGCCTCTTTTACATCCATATATCTACGCATACACGCTCGTCGGTTAAGGGTACTCCTAATCTGGCCCATTTTTAATGTATCGCCGATTTGGTCGATAAACCTTCGTCTAGGGCGTCCCTTCCCGACCCTGCTGTTCACTTCTGCAACATAAATTTTCTTTGTCACTCTTTCCTCGTTCATTCTTTCTACATGACCAAACCACCGAAGCATCCTTTCTTAATCCTTGTCACAACGTCATCTTGCAAACCACACTTTTCTCTTATCACACTATTTCTCACCCTGTCATTCAGATTCAGCCCTAGCATACTCCTTAAGGAACGCATTTCTACAGCATTTATTCTACTCTCATTCTTCTTCTGCCAGACCCAACTTTCACTACCATACATTAAAGTAGGGACTAACACAGCATTATGAATTGCCATACGTGCCTTAGTTGACACATTCTGACTCCTCATAATAGCGTGTAGAGCCCCATTCACTCTATTTGCTGGTGACACTTCTTTAATTTTCAAATTAAGACGACAATTACTAAAATATGACGAAGTAAATAATGCTATATCTAAATTAGTAAATTGGTTCAATGTTAATAATTTGCATTTAAATGGCACTAAAACGTAATGTATGAAATGTATGACTCCAAATGTCAAACAATTAAATACTAATGTACTTTTAAATGGGTAGAAACTGAGTCTTGTAGATACCACCATTTTTCTTGGAATCACACTAGACTTAGTTCTGCAGTATATGCCGTAAAAAAGATTATAAGTCTTACCAGTGTTGAAACAGCTAGACTAGTTTACTTTAACTATTTCAATAGCATAATGTCGTACGGTAGTTTGTTATGGGGACACGCAGCTGCCACTGAAATTATATTTGTTTTACAGAAGAATGTCATAAGAGCAATTTATGATTTAAAGCCTATAGAGTCGCTGCGACAAAAATTTGAGGATATTAATTTATTATCTTTAGCCTCTCAATACATAATGAAATGTACGTACACAAAAATAAAAGTAGTTTTACAAATATAAGTGATCTTATTCATTCTGTAAATACTAGAAACAGACACAAGCTAGTAGTACCAGTTACTCGACTTCATCGAGTCTTCATTCTTGGCCCGATGTATACGCTTTTACAATAAAATTCCAGAAAATATACAAAATTTGACCTGCTCAAAGTTCAAAAACTTTATTAAACTAAGTTTATATAAAAAGGGTTATTATAATATTAAGGAATTTATGGATGATAATAACCCTTGGAAATGAGGTGATCGCTGCCAAACTATTTCTAATTTTTTGTGTTGTTAATTGTGTAACATACATGATTGTATGCTGTTATTTAAAAAATAAAGTCCCGCTGGGTTTTTTTGCTGGTTCTTCCCAGGACAGAGGTTTTTTTTTCGAACAAGTGGTAATTAAACAAAAGAGTGACTTTAAATAAGTATTATTTATAATTTATATTGAATAAAAAAGTTTCTGTTTCTGTTTCCGTATCTACGCTTATATAGGTTGACACATTTCACCTAAATTTTCTTCTAGACCTACCGTCCATTTAGTAGTAGGTCAATTCCACCCACTTTCGGTAGACAGTAATAGTGTTCGGTGATCTGTGCACAGAACTCTATTAGTCTCTACCGATCTACCGATAGAAGTATGATAAATCCAAACTAAAAAACTGAAACAAGTGTCTGTGAGTGTATACTACTAGCGCCACAGCGGGCGACCAAATTTTCTGGTTATGCAGGCCGACTAGATGTGACCCTTTTACTTTTTATTTTCATGTATAGTAGCCAATTTAATAACATAATATTAATAATTAATATAAAACATCGTAATTATGTAGTAGTATCTAGTAGTTCTACATAGTTTCAGTTTTTATTCAATATACTTACCTTTAAGAAAAATATTTTTTTCCTTATTTTGTATTAAAACAACGATGTTTTAATTTTTTTATTGATTGATGCTATATTATTTAACAAAATATTATCATAACATTATAGATAATTTGTATAAAACAATCATAAATGAAATACTTTTTTCCCTACAGTAGTCACGAATCTTTGAGAATAACGTGATGTTCACGTCACGTTATTCTCACATAGATAGACGCGACTTAAGAAAGAATTATATAATACAAACATTTACAATATTTTATTCATACAAATTGAAACTTTTATCTAAAGTATGCACTCCTAAATTTCAACTAATTCGGGCAATAAAGGTAGCTAAGCCCATTCCTATAATTAAAAGTAGTTGATTTTAATTGTTGTAAAAACTATTTACATTTTTTTATTGTTTTACCTTGCTACATATATATTTATCTATGTGTTTTACTTATTATTATGTCAAATAATCGTAGAGATTAAAAGTGAAAGTCATTAAAAATTTAAAAGTATCAGAATAATAATACTGTTAACTGTTTAGCTAAATTAAAAAAAAAATGCAAAATAATTGTAATTTATAAAAAATCTTGAATATGGTAGGAATTTTCTTGCTTTTGATATTTTCATAATATGAATACGTTTATATTCAATCAGTGAACGCATCTCTAGTGCGGTACTCTTTCATTCATTCAAGCGCACAGCGATTTGTAAAAATTAAGAAAAGAAGTTTGTAAATTTCCATTTACTTTATAAGTTAAGGGATTTTAAAAGATTAGATCCCAACTAATACGCGCTAAATAATGACAGACGTAACGAAAAAGGTAAACGGTGTATACTAAATTTTATTGTTATTTTCCTTTATTTTTGACACGAGTGATGAACAGTGAAGTGTGCGAGCAGGCAGGCCTATTTTGTGCAAAAGTACGCCAGAATTCAGTTCTCTTAAACGTTGCCTTGAAGCCTTTGATGCGTCTTAATATTTTTGTGTATATTTTCGTGGTGGTTTAGATATTTATATTAAAGTCAACATAACCTCAATTAAGCGGCCATGGGTATCAACGAAGTTAGCGTTGTACGTGACGTATAATACATATTGATAATATCAGGGTTTACTTTTGTGACATCATATAAAATGTCGTGTTTCCAGGTTCAAGACTACAAGGACTCTCTCAAGCAAAAAGCTGAGCACCTTATCATAAAGGGTTTTCCAGAGAAGATAGTAAAGTTAAATGAGCTGTTAGAAACGTCAAACTTTCAAAACCGTGATTTAGCAGATGTTCATCAGGTAATGGCTTCTTAGCGTAGAATGTTCTATTTCGTCGTAAATTATTGCTACATTATTCCTGTGTTTTCACTTAATTTGAATGTGTGAACATTGTAGTGTTAATTTGACAAATTTAATGCCTTGATTGCGGCTTCTTTTTTTCTCTTACTAATAAATATTTTTAATTTTGTCGTGTGCTGTGGTATTTTAACCATTCTTTAGACTATCATATATCCTTTTCTCAGAACTAAATCAATATACAATTCATAGTTTGCTAAATCTTTGAAAGTGAACATTAATAATATGCATATAATTTTATACTCATTATTATTGTACAAAAACAGCCTTTGGAGATTTCATAATATTATTTTTATTTCCAGGATCTAAACATTCCAGTACCACCACCAGTGACTTCTTTGAATGAACCAAATGCAAAACGACAGCGACTGGATTCATCTGAAACATCTAGTACTACAACTATAGATGGTACCAGAGTTTATGCATTGCCTAATGGAACAGTACCATGTAATAAACCACTCAGTGACCTTATTCATCTTGTTAAACCTCATATAAGAGAGCTGGTTGAAGATTCTAATTTGGTACCTATTGTTTTATTTACTGTATTTTAAACACAATTTTTGTTAAACTGGATTAAATTTTAGATTACTTCAAGAGAAAACATTATAACAGTTGCAAATTAATATTTGTTAACATTTTCAGCTGAAAATGTGGATTTCATTCATGATACCTAAAATTGAAGATGGAAATAATTTTGGTGTATCAATACAAGAGGACACACTAGCTGAGATTCAATCTGTGGAGTCTGAGGCAGCTGCTTTTTTTGACCAAATCTCACGGTACTTTATTTCCAGAGCAAAAATAGTGTCAAAAGTTGCTAAATACCCACATATTGATGACTATAGAAGAGCTGTCAGAGTAAGTGTTGAATACTAATTGCATTTAATAGTGTTAATGTATATTGGGACAGTGTGGTTAACATTTTCTTGCCTTAAAACCCTCTTACAAGTGAGAGGAGTCCTGTGGTTAGCAGCAGGATGTATACAGGGAGTAACTAACTTTTATAATACACTTAGAAGTAATCTTTTTTTATTACTTCACCATATTTAAGGCAATGACAAAAAGTATGATCCATCCACTCATCCAATAGAGCTTATTAAAAGTTCACTACCCTACTAGGCTTCACCCATAGATTGCCTCATCAGGTGTGTCAGCAACTGTAGTTTTTTATTACTTTAAGTTTTTTATCAGAAATCCTACATCTCCTGTTTAATTTCTCACTGTTTCCTCTAACAACTATGGAATGATATGGGGTATTGCTCTATCTTATGCTAATACTAGATGGAGAATAAGAAGTATTATCTTACAGCCTATAATAATCTACTGTTGCCTGGCCTTTTCCTATATCTGCTAGAAGAATTTACTGCATGCATTTAATCTTAAAAATTACAACTGGCAATAATATTTTTCAATCGACTTCAAAAAAGGAGGAGGTTCTCAATGAAACTATTTTTTTAAATGTGTGTTACGTCAAAACTTAGATGAACCACTTTTGATGATTCTTTTATTTGAAAAGTGGTGCTTCTCATGTGGTCCTATATAAATTTGATCAAGATCTGACCAGTAGTTTTTGAGTTATCCTTAATAATGCATATTTAATTGACTTCAACCACATTGTTGTACAATTTTTGTTTTATTTTACCATGCCAGTACTTGATTGCTATCCCACCTGATGGTAAGTGGTTATGCAGCCAAAGATGGTAAAGTGCACTGATAAAGCAGTCTTTGGTTAAAATCTGTGGTGTGTCAACTACAAAGGGCTAGAGAATGGCTGAGCATCTAGTTGTCTGATGGTAGAAGGGAGAGGGAGGAATTATGTCTTGCAATACCTGTGCACACATTTTATACATGGTAGAGTTATGCTTGCAGCTATATTAGTCGTATAGTTGAAGGATGAATGGGCCGGCTGGACCAGGGAAGGACCACACTTACAGAATACCAGTGTAAAATGGCAGCTTAACACTACTGTGTTTTGTATGGTGAGTGTAGAGAACAGGATACTCTTTTTACTGGAAAAGAGGCATTCCATCTTACTCCTCACGGGTGACAATGCATCTGCATTTTGATTCTTTATTGAGGATAGATGTAGATGTCTATAGGCCACAGGAACCACTTACCATGAGGTGAACTGTGTGCTTGCTTGTCACCCTTATCCTATTAAAAAAAACTAAAACAAGAGAAAGGCACTGAAAGGCTCGAGACTGGTAAGATTGGCTTATTTTGAGATTCAATGTTTAGTTCACTAATAAGTCTCATAATTAAGAAAATAGTTCAAAGTGGCTAGGTGGTATTTTGCAGCACTTACAGTTTATATTATTCTATATATATTCTATATATATTGTTCATAGCTGTCCTGGTGTGAATTTATACCATATCCTTTGCAAGGACACTTACCTACCTTGCAGTTGCTTTAACCCTGGGCTTAATGAAACCACACAAAGTTCAGATTTGAGCAAATCTCAACCCCAACAATTGTAGGTGGTTGGTGTATTCTTATGATACATTTTGGAAAGAAGCAGCTAATGTGTGCTGGCTCCTTTTTTCTTTAGCCTGGATATTATTTTCTACCGACTTCATAAAAGAGGAGGTACTCAATTCGACTGTATGTTTTTTTATGTGTTTTATAACCTCGTAACCTTTTTCTTGGTGTACCGATTTCAATAATTCTTTTTTTTTTATTTGAAAGCTGGTGCTTCTCATGTGGTCCCATATAAATTTGAGCAAGGTCTGACCAATGGTTTTTGAGTTATTCTTAATAATTTATATTGAAGTGAGTTGTACAAAATTTCTAATTTTAAATTATTTAGCAGTTGTCTTTGTATAACAATAATTCTTGCAATCTTTTTGATGACACAAGATTTTACTTAATAAAATGTGATCAAAAGATATAGTCTACTGGTACTACTGTGGAATGGAGTAATATATTCTCATAGGACATAGCTCATTGTTTATTAGTAAATTTGCTCTCAAGATATAATCAAATGGGTAGTTGATACTATCATTAAAAAATATGACATCATATAATTAGAATTTGCTACATTTATTAGTCTCTTAAAACTTAATCAGTTTTTTATTTCAATAACATTTTTAGTACATATTTTAAAATATACAATCACAAGTAACAGTAACCCAATATAGCCCAAGAGATTAGTAAGCTGAAGTGCCAATGGGCTGGCCATATAGTATATAGAAGAACCGACAATCAATGGAAAAACAAGGTTCTTGAGTGACAGCCTCATACTTGGTAGGCGAAGTGTGGGGTGGCCCCACTAGATGGAGTGATGACCTGGTAAGACATGCAGGAAGTAGATGGATGCAGGTGGCTCAGGACCGTGATTTGTGGCATTACTTGGGGAAGGCCTATGTTCAGTAGTGGACTTGTGAAGGGCTGTGATGATGATGATGATGATTCTGATGATGAAAATATACGACTAAAATAACTGTAATTATATGACGATAACAACTGTGATGTCATTACACTATATATTCTTACACAATTTCTACAGAAATAAAAAACTAATTCAACTGACTCTGGTATCAAATTTCCAATTATTTACACTGTTACAATTTCTTAATTTTACTGACCTTTTTTATTTCAGGAACTTGATGAGAAAGAGTATTTGTCACTATGGCTCGTCATGTGCGAGATTCGCAATCGTTATTGTTCCTTGCATGATATTGTCATCAAGAACTTGGAGAAAATCAAGAAACCACGCTCTTCTAATGCCGATTCATTATATTAGGCAATAAATTAAATCTCAGTTAGAAATTTAGTACCACAAGGATTCCTTGTAATTTAAGTGTAATAATGAGAACAGTCTCCGTTTTTCTTTTCACTAGGCCACATTTTGTACATAAATGCTATGAAGTATTCCACATTTTAAATTTATAAGCACATGTTAGGTTATTCTTGGGCTTTAAATTGGTTCTTAGTGCTCTGTTTCTGGTTATTACAAAATATTACTGGTATTTATATATTGTTGCTAAAGTTTGTTTCTTTAATTCTCGTTAGTAAAATATAGTTACCATATTGTAGCGAAAGACAATGAGGCTGACTATTTTATTTCATTTTAAGTTTAAATTTTCTGAAAATATACATTCCTATAACATTATACAATAATTGATCTTATTTTTAAATAAATGTGAATAATCAGTTACTTTTTTAAGTCTATGTTGTGAAAGTATTTAACTGTAATTTGTAACCTTAATAAATAGGATATTATAGTGACAAATCTACTGGTGCTATAGCTACAATATGGTAATTTTATTCTTTTGGCCATAACCACGAGAGTTCCCAAAAATGAGATCATAATTTAAGTGCAATGTAGCACAGAAAAGAAAACATGAGTTGAATAGTTTAATTTATTGCACTTTGAAAGTTTCTAGTTTAAAGTGCCTGATTAAAAGTAAGGTCATAACTGAAAAAAAGTATTGCACTCCATCTGTGTACTTCGGCATGGATTACCCAATTGAATAGAAATAAATACATTTGTATAAATGTCATTAGCTTGTTTTATTTATGCCCTTTGTAATGCCTACATATGAAACTTTTATTAAGTAGATTGCTTGTATTTGTTATTTAATTAAAATTTGACTTGCAACGAATAGTACATTCGGCACATAGGTGTTAGAATAGGATAAAAGTAGCCGAATAGGACGAATACCGAATAATAGCCGAATATTCGTTGGAAGTCTAATTAAAATTTAAGGTACTAAATAATCATTCTGTAATAGTTCACACTGCCATTTACTAGGGTGGGCAAAATTTGTGTAATCGCCACGTTTGCTAGGTAAATTGGTGATTGTAGTACAAAAGAAAATAGATTATGCAGTACACGAGACAACGAACTGGAAGAGCGTCTCGCGCTGTTTAGCTTGCTACATATATATTTATCTATGCTGTTAACGCTGCACTTCGTCGCGTCGTCGGCCGGGGTATTCATTTATTTTTTAATAGAAATAGGGCAACCAACGAGCACACAGTCCATCTGATGGTAAGTGGTTGCTGCGGCCCATAGACATCTACATCTATCCGCGTTTGCGAATCAAAATGCAGATGCGTTGTCAGCCTTGCGGACCGAGATGGAATGCCTCGTTTTCAGTAAAAAGAGTCTCCTAAAACTTGTTAAAAGATATCGAGGGGGTTGTAGTATTTTTGGATGACGTTTTGATCGCTTCGGATACTATCGAAAACCATATACATACTTTACGTAAAGTGCTAGATAAATTGAAAGAGTACGGTCTTAAATTAAAAAGGGAAAAATGTGAATTTTTTGTAGAAAAAGTGAAATATTTGGGTTATGTAATGAATAAAGAGGAAATCCACCCCGATCCTGACAAGATTCGAATCGATTCTGTTGATGTCACCACCCAAAGACATTTCGGAACTTCGGTCATTTTTATGAATGGTCAATTTTTATAGCCGTTTCGTGCCCAATTTGAGTACAATTTTACAGCCACTTTACGAACTCCTAAAAAGACTCGACATGGAAATGGGGTAGATTAGAACAGCAGGCTTTCACTGTAGTTAAGAGACGTTTGAGTGACGCGGTCGCGCTGAGCCACTACGAGCCGGGCGCGCCGTTAGGGGTGACGTGTGATGCCAGCGCGCGCGGGCTCGGCGCCGTGCTGGCGCAGCGCGACGCGGCCGGCCGCGAGCGCCCCGTCATGTGTTTGTCGCGCGCGCTCACCGCCGCGGAATGCAACTACAGCATTCAGATACAAAAAGAGGCGTTAGCTATTGTATTTGCTGTGAAAAAGTTTCACTAGTATATTTACGGGCGACGGTTTACATTGCGGACGGATCATAAACCGTTAGTCACAATGTTCGGTCCACACCAAGGTATTCCTAGCATGACGGCCAGTAGATTACAGAGATGGGCTTTAATATTAACAGCTTACGATTTCGATATCGAATACGTCTCAACTAATGATAATGTGGCGGATGCATTGTCGTGAATGATTTCTACCCATAAAGAGAGTAGTTCGGAGGAAAATCGACAATTTCCGGAACAAACTTATTTACATTTCGCGTCAGATTTCATCAGTTCAGGCCTTATTAATAGACAATAATAGTTTAAAGCGGGAAACCGCGAGGGACGCGATACTCGGGCGGGTCCTCGGTTATATACGGGACGGCTGGCCGCAAGATATCGAAATAAAATATATCAAACCATACTTTCACAGAAAGAAAGAGTTATACGAGGAACTGGGGTGCGTCATGTGGGGTCACAGAGTAGTGGTACCTTCTAGTTGCAGGGAGAAAGTTCTCGCGGAGTTACATGAGGCTCACATGACGAAACAGTTTACTCGCAGCTACGTGTGGTGGCCGGGGATCGACGAGGCGGTGGAGGCCGTGTGCCGCGCCTGCTCGGTGTGCGCGCGCGTGGCGGATGCGCCGGAGCGACACGAGCCGCGCCCGTGGCTGTGGCCAGAGCGCCCGTGGTCGCGACTGCATCTCGATTTTTTAGGGCGCTACTTACTTAGTCACCGTGGACGCTCATTCTAAATGGGTCGAAGTCACTGCTATGAGTTCCATTTTGGCAAAAAATTTAATAAGCAAATTAAGGGAAATGTGGGCTAGATTCGGTCTGCCAAGACAGATGAGTGACAACGGTCCGCCATTTACTAGTCAGGAATTTCAGTTATTTCTTAAGGATAACGGTATAGAACACATATTTTCAGCACCCTATCACCCGGCTTCGAATGGCGCAGCTGAGAATGCGGTTAGAATGGGCAAGCGGGTTATAAAGAAGGCACTAGTACAGGGTGTGAATATCGATATCGCGCTTAATAGGTTTCTACTCGTATATCGTAACACCGAACACTGTACTACCGGTGTGAGCCCCGCGAAATTATTACAAGGTCGTTCACTGCGCACACGCCTCGACTGTCTGAAGCCGGAGCTGGGGCCCCGCGTGCGGCGCGAGCAGGCGCGACATGCGCGCGCCGCGGGCGGCAGTCGCCGGCAGTTCGCGCCGGGAAACCGCGTATGGTACCGCGATTATCGTAACTCGGTTGTAAAATGGTTAAAAGGAGAAGTACACTCCAGACTAGGAGAAACGGACTATAATATTCTAGGGGCTGATAAAGTCTTTATTCATAGACATGTCGACCAGATAAGACCACGATCGGGGGAGCCGGATAGGGAAGGGGAAGACCGGGATGTTTCAGAAGGAGGAAGAGGTTCATTATCACGTTCCTATCTAGTGTATCCGAATGGCTCCTCTCCAGTGGTGGAGGAAGAGGCCAGTTCGAGTGGATTTGATTTTGATTAGTTGTAAGTTAGTTAAGTGATATGTGCTTTATTTTATATTAGTTTAAGTACGTTTAGAATAAGGGTGGAGGTGTAATGTCATTATCATCATCATTACAGCCCTTCACAAGTCCACTGCTGAACATAGGCCTCCCCCAAAGAATGCCACAAAGCACGGTCCTGAGCCACCTGCATCCATCGACTTCCTGCATATCTTACCAGGTCGTCACTCCATCTAGTGGGGGGACGCCCTACACTTCGCCTGCCGGTACGAGGCTGCCACTCGAGAACCTTTCTTCCCCATCGGTTGTCGGTTCTTCGAGCTATATGGCCGGCCCATTGCCACTTCAGCTTACTAATCCGTTGGGCTATGTCGGTCACTCTAGTTCTACTGCGGATATCCTCATTTCTGAGTTTATCACGCAGAGAAACTCCGAGCATAGCCCTCTCCATAGCTCGCTGAGCGACCTTGAGCTTCCTCATCCGGCCAGCAGTGAAGGACCACGTCTCAGTTCCGTATGTCATCACTGGCAACACGCACTGGGTGTACAGTCTCGTTTTCAAGTTTTGAGGTATACCTGACGAGAAGATGTGCCGTAATTTCTCGAACGCTGCCCAACCGAGTTGAATCCGTCGATTGACCTCTCGGTCGAAGTTGGACTTACCTAGTCGGACTATTTGTCCCAGGTAAACATACTCGTCAACAACTTCGAGCTTAGTGTTCCCAACAACTACCGGCATAGGTGTGACATGGACATTAAACATGATCTTTGTTTTGTCCATGTTCATCTTAAGACCTATCCGTTGGGAAACACTATTGAGGTCATTGAGCATAGTGCTTAGGTCCTCCAGCGATTCTGCCATAAGGACTATATCGTCGGCAAATCGAAGGTGAGTGATGTACTCGCCATTGATGTTGATTCCGTATCCTTTCCAGTCCAGAAGCTTGAAAACATCTTCCAATGCAGCGGTAAAGAGTTTCGGGGATATGACGTCACCCTGTCTTACACCTCTCTGCAATTGGATAGGTTTCGTACTCTGGTTCTGTACTCGGATAGCCATCGTAGCCCTACTGTACAAGCACTTCAACACTTCGATATACCGACAGTCAACTTGGCATCGCTGAAGGGACTGCAGCACCGCCCAAATTTCGACGGAATCAAAGGCTTTCTCATAGTCCACATACGCCAGACATAGTGGCAAATTGTACTCCTCGGACTTCTGTACAATTTGCCGAAGGGTATGTATGTGGTCTATGGTGCTAAAGCCTTTTCGGAAACCGGCTTGTTCGGGAGGCTGGAAGTCGTCAAGTCTGCGCGCGAGACGATTCGTAATGACTCTCGAAAAACAGCACGTAGACGCGGCTCAGAAGGGAAATCGGTCTGTAGTTCTTCAAGAGAGCGTTGTCGCCTTTCTTGAAGAACAAGACCACCGCACTTCTGCTCCACGCCTCCGGTGTAATGCCACCATGAAGGACGGAATTAAAGAGCTTCTGAAGGACTTCAAGTACCGGTTTTCCACCCGCTTTCAGAAGCTCCGCTGTAATTCCATCCTCGCCTGGGGCCTTGCCGTTTTTAAGGTGCTGGAGAGCCATTCTAATCTCGCTCAGACTGACGTCCGGGATATCATCGGAATAATGTCGGATAAGACTCGCTCTTGGATCGTTACTCACACTTGCGTGCGGCTCCAACGATGACGTGTACAGCTGCCCATAGAACCTCTCAATCTCACTCAAAATCTCAGGTGCCCCGGAAACGATGTTGCCACACTCAGTATTCAGCTTTGACAGTTGGCTTTTTCTGGTAGACAGATCTCTGGCAAATACTTTGGAGCCTTGGTTCCGCTCGATTGCTTTTTCGAGCTGTATTGAAGTTGCGTAAGTCACGCCGCATGCATTTGGAGATCTGTCTGTTCAGTTGCCTGTATGCTGTCAAATCTGTTGAAGAATGCAACTTCATCTCCCGTCTAACAGCCATGAGATTAAGAGTGTGATCGGAGAGTTTTTGTGTTCTTCTGCGGCGGGTCTTGCAGAACTTAGCTCCGACCGCATGGACAGTTTCCACGAGCTTGTCATTCAAATCGTCCACTTCATTGCAGTCTTCTAGGCACTGAAAACGGTTTTGTAACTCGAGCTGAAAGGTTTCGGGACTTTGGATTAGAGCACGAGGGGGACGGAGCGTTGACTTCATTAGACGAGACCTCTCCAACTTAACGTTTAGGTTCAGTGTGCCTCTAACCATTCGGTGATCGCTGCCGGTTTTCACCCTCGCGATCACTGAGACATCACTGAACAGTTGTCGTCTGGTCGTCATAATGAAGTCAATCTCATTTTTTGTCGAACCGTCGGGGCTCGACCAGGTCCACTTCCTGTGGGGCCGCTTCTGGAAGAAAGAGTTCATCATAAAGAGTCCCTCTTTCTCCATGAAGTCGGCCAGCTGCTGACCCCTTGGGTTCCGTTGCCCTATTCCAAATTTCCCTACTTTCAGCTCACCGTTCTCTCTTGTGCCTAGTTTTGCATTGAAGTCTCCCATTAACACCGTATATTGGGTTTTGGAGGAATGCATGGCTCTAGAGATATCCTCATACATTTCCTCCACCTACTGATCGGGGTGTGCCGAGGTTGGTGCGTAAACCTGTATGACCTTCAGCGAATACCGTTTGGTGATTCTGAGTATAAGGTACGCAACCCTCGTCGACACACTCTCAATCTTTACAACGTTGTTAACGAGAGACCTGTGGACGATAAATCCGACACCTCCTTGGGACAGATGGTCGCCCTCCCGGTAATAGAGCAAGTTGCCGGATTCGAGGATTACCGTGTCCTCCCCCTCTCTTCGGACTTCGGATAATCCTATAATATGCCAGCGTAACTTGTCTATCTCTTCTTCCAGCTCCACAATCTTCTCGTCAGTCCTCAGAGTGCGTGCGTTGTATGTTGCCAGGTCGAGTCGTCGTAGGTGGCAACCGAACCTCCACCGTAGATTCTTAGCACCCCCTGCCCCGCCGTTACCATGGTCGCCACCGTAGCCAGGAATAGCGGGGCCGCCGGGGACTGGGGGCCGTTTATTATTGTCATTGCTCATGGGGGGTATATTGCCATAGTTGCCACGCTTGGCGAGCGGGTTGGCAACCGCAGTTTTTTTATTGTTATTTTGGCTATTATCAGGAAGATGCTGCTGCCCATCTCCTGCCTATTTCCCTTTGTCGCCTTTTACGACACCCACGGGAAGATATGGGGTAGTGGATATTCTTAACCGCCACTACACGGCTAATGTAGGATAGCTTATAGAGGTGTAATGTAGGATAAGCTTATTGTTAGTATAAGGAAGGTAGTTTGTGACCTCCCTCTCTCGCAATAAATGGTTGAACTGTACGGACGTGTTTTCCTTTGTCTCAAGTGTATACTACCTTCCCTTGTAGGGGATAATCATGATATAATATTTTTAAAAATTTGCTGATGATAATTCCTTGATTTTTAAACTTAAATGTCTATTTATCATTTAAATATGTCGAAGTGAATAATGCTACATCAACATTAGTGCATTGGTTTAACGTTAATAATCTGCATTTAAACAGCAATAAAACTAAATGTAAATTTACAACAACGAACAATAACAATCTAAATACCAATGTGTTTTTAAGTGAGGAAGAACTGAGCCCTGTTGAATTCTCTGCTTTTCTTGGCATCACTCTCGACGTAAAGCTTCAGTGGGGCCCCCATATATCCAAACTAGCAAGCAGACTATATATATACATTATGCTGTAAAAAAGATTAGAGATCTCACTAGTGTTGAGACAGCTAGATTAATTTATTTCAGTCTTATGGGATTTTGCGATGGGGAAATGCGCCTGATTTAGAAGCTATTTTTGTTTTGCAGAAGAGGGCTATAATAGCTATTTACAACCTTAAACCGAGAGAGTCCATTAGAGAAAAATTTAAAGAAATAAATATATTAACTTTGGCTTCACAGTATATTTACAAAAATTTAATGTATATTCACAAAAACAAATATAGTTTTGGTAAAAAAAAATGCGTGAGTGCCGTGGAACACTCAGTTGGAACGAAGTTCCTTGCGTAGTATATTATTATTGATAAACGTAGGTATTATATTGTTGATTAACAAATACAAATAAATGAATTACTAACGTCTATTAAAATGAAGCGTCATTTGAAATAAAATAATATTTCTTTCATCCCAAGATAAAAAAAGTGCGAGGGAGATGCATATTATTCCATCTCACTTCCTTATTTCGCCGCCAAGGCCGTCTACACTATGACACAAGGGGTAGTGACGAAAAAATCTTACACTTTTTATCGCCTAGCTCCCATCCGCCACACCCTTACCGTCCAATAGAGAACTTCGTTCCAAAAAGTGATATACAGTATACATTCTGTAAACACTAGGAACAAACACAAGCTAGTGATACCGGTTTCTCGACTCCATAGAGTCAGTAATTCATTCTTGGGGCAATGCATAGACTTAGAATATACTGGCGTATAGACCAACATAGTGTGCAAGGGAGAAGAAAATTCCTTATGGCAAAAATGCAAGATAGAAAAGGATACCAAATCTCATGACTCTGTAACCGATTTTGAATGATAGATCGGCGCAATTCGGCATGTAAGGATTAAGGAATAACTCATTTTACATGTACGGTAGGGATTGACTCAACTATATCAAAATTAATGTCGATATTTATCTGGAATGTTTATAATGAATATACTTGCCTACACAACAAGAAAATAAATCCTCGGCTTGCGTTCTAAAATGTAATTTTATTTTGTCGTTTGTCAAACAGATTCCCTCCAGATTCTATAATTAGAAAAAAATGTTTAAGGTTCATTGGACGGGTTGGTTGTAATGCAAAGAAGAACTCAACAATTTGCAGCAAACATTTTCTTGAGAAGTATAAAAGAAAAAGTAGAATATAAACAATTTTATTAAAAGAAGTCATTTCAACATTATTTGTACCAGTAAGTAAATATTGTTATAACAAGATTTAAAAATTTTACTTTCAAAA